AAGAGTTGGTGGTGGGTGGTGATGACTAGCTGCCTTCCCTCTAGTCTTTCACTGCCAAATTAGGGACAGCTAGCAAAGATAGCCCTTGTATAGCTATGCACAAAATTCAAAAGAAAACAAAAATGTTTTTGGTGGACAAAGCACAGATAGCATGTTATGAAGATTTGCACTAAAACAAAGAAAGAAAAAAGTATTTGTTACTTATATAAAAACAAGTTTATTGTTTTGGTTAACTCAAATTCTGAAATGTTGAGATTTTGAAATAAGGAATAGAAATAAAGTTCTATTTATTTGGAATTTTCAGCTGTAGAAGAAATTTAGAACTGGAAAGATAGAAAGTTTCATTTACCTAAAAATTTTTTAATGCACACATTAAAAACAATTCATGTGAAACTTTTAGTATCTGTATCGTATATGAAATAGTGGTTGATGATTTTGATCATTTTACATGCTCCATTCGAAATTAGCTTTGCTACTAGATATAAAGCACCATTACTATCCAGGGTTGGTTGTAGATGCCTCACAATCTTCAGTAGTGTATCGGGTTTCTTTCGGATAATTATTTATGAAGTGTAAGTTTTAGGTTTCTCTCATTTCCATAAGTTAATATGATAGGTGAATGAGTAACAGAACTTATGTCTCATAAACGCATATTTCACATTTTACTGTACATTTTACTTTACTATGTAAAGAAAACGATATGCAGTGTTACAGTAAATAATATTTTCAAATAAACATAATTTGTTTCTGTAATTTGGGTACCATAACATTTGTATAGAATGTTTTTGATGCTGTGAATACATAAGACTTAATCTGTTTAATTAAAAATAAACTCCAAAAAATAATAATATATTGCTAGAATAAATTAAAAAAGAAGTTTCAGTTATTGTTCAAGTTTGTTAAATATTCATAAGCAATCTGGCTTACTAAGAACCAAAAGATTAAATGGAATATTAGCTTAAATGATTTTTGTGAGATGAATAATGGCTTTACAGTGATCATACATCTTAGATTGCAAATAAAACAAAATTCAACAACAAACATTTTCACAGCTTAAAAGCTTTTCTTCACATGTTTGATATATTAATGAAGAAATTAAAAGTAAATGTAAAAAAAAAACAATGGAATTATGAATAGGGGACTAAAAAAAATCTTTACTTCTAATTTTCTAGGAGTGCCATGAGAAAATTCGTGTTCTTTCACAGCTAGCTGCTGCAGTTGTGAAGGAAGATGGTGGAGCCAATGACTTAGTTCAGAGAATTAAAGAAGACTCATATTTTTCCCCTATTCATAGTGTGTTAGATAAACTGCTAGACCCAATCTCATTTGTTGGCCGAGCTCCACAGCAGGTGAGGAAAATAGGAAAAGTAGATTAATCTACCTTTTATTGTTATTGTTGCTAAATATAACAATGTATACGTACATTAAAACAAATGTTAGCAAGGTTCCTTCTGTATTAAAAAAAAACAAAAAATATTTATAAATCCATTTCATTCTGCTTTTACTAGAAGTTTTCATAACTTGTGAGTGTTTGAGTCATACCATGCATGAGTGGTGTGATCATGTTCATTTTCTCAACATTGTACAACTCCTCCTACAAAAAAACTTCACTAAGACTGGGTGACAGATCTTTCTGAAATGAATATACAATAGAAAAAAATATTTAATTATGAGAAAAATTTCATGAAATGATATTTAAATAAAGATCTTCCTATTGTACTCAGTTATATAATGTATTTTAACCTATTTTTATAATATTCTCAGATTAAACTTCAGGAGAAATGTAACATTTTTAATAGTTTGGTTTGTAAGTAAACAATAAACACACACACAATGTACGAACATTTATGGTACTTATTGTTTTTGAATGAATTTTGAGCATCATAACACAAGTGGCTAAAGCTTAAAATGGATTAGTAGGGCTGTATTGTTGTAGTATTGTAATATAATAACATTAAACATATGACCAAATTTATTCATTAAATAAGCATCCTTTTCTTTGCACTTACAAATCGGTTATGGTGCCAATAACAAGTTGCAGATTACTTTTAAACCCAGCAGAATTATCTGAAGCTGGTTTGTAGTTCTGTAACTTAAAGTATTGTTTTTGTTTTAACAAAATTGCACATAACAGAAGTTTCTAAAACAATATCTAATTATTAATTGTTTCACAAGTAATTTTTCAAATTGATGATAGTTGCTGTTTCTTCAGTATTTCACAGTAAAAATATGATAAGAGTTTATGAACTGTGCATTGTGGTTCTTCAGTAAATAGTGTTCATTACATAAAATGATCACTGGCAGTAAGGGGGTTTCAGTGATGGGGATCAAAATGATATTTTTTTTTAAACAGTGTATAATAATCTTTGAAATAACTGCACCAAATTTACAAGATATTGCATGTTTTTAATGGCAATACATAAGCATTGTCATAATGTTTTGTTTTTTTTCAGCTTTGCTATGTTCATTTTTAGAAGGATTTCAATTGCTGATGAATTAGAATTCAACTTTGGTTTGAGTTTTGTGATGGCGAAAGTTTCTTTGACTCTTACATCTTCCTTGCTGTTGAAACTACATATTATTTCAAAATCATGTTCATATGCAGTCCCATCACATTCTTGGTCTTGGTATTTGTAGAATTATACACCACTGTAAACGACATGTGGTTGATCTCACACAATCTCATTCGCCTCAAGAACAAAGGTACTAATAAACAGCATAAGAATGTTGAAGCTTATTTTTGTCCTTTCTTAAAAAAAAAGTTTTCTTTTCTCAACACTGATTTTAAAGCCACATACACTGAACTTTGTGGATAGTCTCATTTGAAGATATTTTTCATTTTACTTCTCAAAATATAACTGCCTTTACCCAAAAATGTGAGACTGATGTAAACATATTAAATCATGGTGGAACATTTATCTTTCTAAAAACCTACTTATATTAGCATAATATGCTTCCTTACTCAATGTTTCAAAATGTTAGGTAATTATAGATGAAACCCATATCTTGATAAAACATGTTTCACACGTTTTGGTTCTTTATGAAATTAAAGATAGTCAGTAACAATATAATAAGCTCTTTAAAATATGATATATATCAAATTGATCTTATATTTAACAGGTATACAACTGTCAAACTTGAATACACAATGCCATATACATTGGTTTATGATACTTTCCTATTTCTAAATGATCACCAAAGGTGTTAATATCAAGATCAAAGACAAATTTCAGTCAGTTTCTTCAAAAGTTGTTGATACGAGGATGTTGGTTTAAATATTCTAAGAATAAATTATTTTCCTAAAAATAACAAAGGTATCATCAACATTGTTTTTCATGATAACATAAAAAAAAAAACATTTGGTAGTCTAGGTGTTAATTTTGAGCCCATAGCAACCCCATCTATTCGATAGTAGATAGTGTTGTCAAAATTGAAATGAGATTTCTTATTAGCATAATTTAACAAAATAGGTTAGATCTTGACTTTTTGAATATTTTTGAGATTGCAAGCTTTAATATTGTGGTTAGATTTTACACACACCATAAACCTAGTCTAAATACAACAAATAATCAATAACTAAGACAAATTAGTGTGAACTATTTAAAGAAATTAAATGATTTAAGACATTTATTGATGATGCAGACCAAATTATAAATAACTTATTTCAGTACAAACTTAAAGAAATGGAAAATAAACATTTTGATTATTATCATTTTTTTATGTTTTGAAAAATTGTGAGGAAATTATAAGATAGCCCTATTTATAGGGAAAATGGAACAAATCTTAATAATATTGTAACACGGGTGTTGGGTGACCTTAACTTATTTTTACTCGTATAAAAGAAAATTAGCTATAATTACTGAATAAATTGAAATGATTAATCACTTAAGTCAAAAGAAAAAACTGTCACTGTTAAACATAGCATAGTTATTTTGAATAGAGAAGATTGGATATGTAAAGCACTTATAATAATGATACCATAAAAAAATGAGGGTTAATTCCCATAAAATAAGCATAAAATCAGCATAAAATAAGGTTGTTAATGATAAAATAAAGATATTAGAGTGGTAAACTTTCACTGTGGTATTTTGTATGATTTACCAAAATTTTATCAAAATAATTATCCAATTAAGCCAATAGTTTGAATTATGACGAGAATCATGCAAATTTTTGTAACTTTTTTAAAACCTTTTGAAAAAGAATAAATACACAATTAACAATAATTTTGAGATCTATAAACAACTGATGAACTTAAGATTTCATGAACAAGTTTATTGTGCAAATTTTGATAATGAGTCCATATACACTTGTATTCTATTGAAGGTAATTCGAATAACTGAAAATTTGATTTTTCAAAATTATGCAACTTTACTAGAATTAATAAAATCGGTTTTATTTAATCATTAAATTTTGCCACTAAGAAAACTCATTTTAACAGCAGTGATTATGATCAAATTAATAGTGTTGTTATGGGCTCAAAATAAGCACGATGTCTAAACAAGTCATGTTTGATGTTGTCATGAATGACTGACCATAATGTTGTCGTGAATAACTATGGTTGGATGACTGACCAGAGAGTTTCAAACATATTAGATTTTGAGATTGTTTTTGATATTTTCAAGTAACAAAAACGGATGAACTCATTTCTAGAATATTTAAACAAATAGTAGTCTTGTATCAAGTTTACAGTTGTAGAAGAAAATAACTCAAACTTGTCTTCTTTGGATTTTGATATTAACAACTTTAGTGATCAGTTGGAAATAGGAATGTATTATAAGCCAGTGTATAGAGGATCATATAATCCTGATGACAGTTTTATAACTGTTAATTTGATAACCACCTTACTTTATAGAGCTTATCATATTGCCAGTGACTATCATTATTTTGTTAAGCAAATAGAAATTGTGAAAAATCTGATTTATCTATCATTAGTTAACAACACTTACAATGTGTCATGTTTTGAAGAACAAAATCAAAGATATCTTTAAATCAAACTATGCACAGATTTCAGTTTGTGTAGCTTTAAAATGATGTTAATATTAACAGAATTAAGTTTTTACATCATTCATTGATATGTTTGTTCTTGATGTGGACAAAATTATATAGGATCAACCAAGCATTGGTTAGAACAGAGTATAATAAAACATCTGAAACCTAATGCTTGTGATTCTTCAAGCATCTAGGCCAAAAATGTGATGGGACTACAGATGAACATAACTTTAAAATAATAGGTAGTTCAAACAATGAGCTAGATGTAAGAAATAAAGGTCTTTAGCCAGCTTCAGGCTCACATTATCTGTTTTAAAATCTATTTTTATTAGCATTACTATTGTTTTTTTTATAAGTTGTGTTTTAACTATATAATATGTAAATATACAAATTGTGAGGAAGGATTAATGTAAAACAAACCTGGTCATATAAAAGATAGGTAACAGGATATTGCATATTTTGGCAGCAGTTATTATAGATTAGTAATATTTGTTGGTGATATTTTTTTTATGAAATATGTTTTCTGGTAATGAAATGCTACAATAGCACAGGGATACTTTTGTATAATATTAATATAAGGTTCTTGTATTATCTCAACAATAACAACAACCGTTTCAAAGTGTATTTTTTTACTGTATTTGTAATACAGGTTAAGGAGTTCCTTGAGCAGGAAGTTCAGCCAGCCTTAGGACCCTATAGAGAACAGCTGACCAAAGAATCTGTTCTTAATGTATAACTGTTGTAAACCTAATTATTCAAATTCAGGGAATTTATATTACTCATTTCAAGGCATGTCAGGTGTTACTACACTTTGTTCACACTTAAATTTACCTCACCTGCTATTGTACTGTATGATACAGTGTTTCCTGTTTTCATACTCGCTGTTCACACTGCCCTAACTTTACCTCACCTGCTATTGTATTGTATGATACAGTGTTTCCTCTTTTCATACTTGCTGTTCACACTGCCCTAACTTTACCTCACCTGCTATTGTATTGTATGATACAGTGTTTCCTGTTTTCATACTCGCTGTTCACACTGCCCTAACTTTACCTCACCTGCTATTGTATTGTATGATACAGTGTTTCCTGTTTTCATACTCGCTGTTCACACTGCCCTAACTTTACCTCACCTGCTATTGTATTGTATGATATTTGTAGCTTTACTCTCCACAATCTGAAAAAAAAAAAAAATAAAGCAATGACTTTTTTTTATAAAAAGAATTAAATCAGTAATGGAATATACAAAGTTTAATAGAAGTGGTAGAATTGTTTGGGGTTATTTTCAAATTAATTCTCACTTTTAAAAAGCAGCAGTAGCTTTGGGATAACCCAACTTTAAAAAAAAAACATGTAAAATAGTATAAACCCTAAATTAAAAGAGATGTAGTTATTCATATTAGGATTCTTCACTAGGCCACTATTTGTTCTGATGTTTTTTTTTTCTGTATCAAATTCTGGCAGATTAAAACCTTTGAGTATAAAAAAAGGTGAATTATTACCTGTGTGAAACGTATACAAAAGTATTTAAGGTTGTTTTTTTTTTAGTAATGTTTGTAGAATTACTAGATATAGGCTTCAGATGTTCTTTTATATGCTGCTCTAAATGACTGTGTCGTGTCCACTTCGAAAACAAATGTATCAATAAACAACACAAGAATTTTGAAGTTTGTTTTTGTTCTTTGTTTAGATAAAGTTCTGTATTCTCAACACTGCTTTGTGGATAGTTTCATTTCATTTTTTTTTAAACTAAATAGTTTTATGTGTTTTGTAGGTTCGGTAATAAATCTTTTGTCATTTTCTTGTTGAAAGAATATTTTACGTTTCATAAAATATGAATCCTCAGATGCTTAGAAGTAAAAATCTAAGGAGGCAAACTTGAATAGGGCCTAGCATGGCCTGGTGGTCAGGGATCTCTACTCACAATCTGTGGGTCACGAATCTGAATCGTGTTATCAAACATGCTCACTCTTTCAGCCATGGGAGCATTATAATGTGACAGTCAATCCCACTTTTTGTTGATAAGAATTGATGGTGGGTGGGGTTGACGAACAACCTCACTAGTTCGCTGAAAATCCTTTCAATATAATATGCAGTTGAATGCATTATTGACGATATTTTCGGTTTTGTATGTGTGTGTCTGGCGTGTATGTTGTTTGGGACCCTACAACCAACAACGTTATAGTCTTAAATGTGGTTTGGTGCATAAATAATTTAGTAAAACCTGTTTATAAAAAAAAAAACCGATGAGCCACATACCCCATCAGTATTTCCAGTGTTTCAACGTCAATTTCGGTTTGTACTCACCAGGTGGCAGTCTTATAATTTAAATTTGATTTCTACGCGTCTTCCGTTAAATGAAAGTAACCTAAAAGTCACCCATATCAAGAATGCCACACGGTAAATTTAAGATGTTAGATAAATTCATTATCGTGTTTACAAGATAAACGTACGACTAAAGACTCTTTGCCCCTCGTTTAGAATTAACCTCCTCCCCAGTGGCACATCGGTACGTCTGCGGACTTACAACGCTAGAAATCAGATTTCTATTCCCGTGATGGGCAGAGCATAGATAGCCTATTTTGTAGCTCTGTGCTTAACTTCAAACATTTAGAATTAACTGGAATCCCAGAAACGTAATAAAAAATATAATGCGTGGTTTTGGTATTTAGTTATAAAAAAATGCCCACAGTAAGTTGAAAACACAGCTACAAGAACGTTGAGAAATCGTTGTCGTCATAAAAAATATAAAGTAGTCAGTTATTTGTGCTTTTTTGCTGGTTAACTTTTGATGAGTTATAACTTTCTTTCATGATATATATTTATTATTTTCGGTTAATATGAGTGTGTTTTTTTTTTTATTACCCTCTCAATTGAGTGGCTCAGCGGCAAGTTTGAGGGCTAACACCGCTAAAAACCGGGTTAATTTCGCAACTCGTAGTGAACACAGTACAGATAGTCTAAACAAAGTTTATTAAAACATTCCAATATAACAGAAATTAAGCATCGCCATTTGGGGAATAATGTTGGACTTTTTTTTTAACAGAATATTTATTTCGTTATTATTAAAAAGTTATTCTCGCCAATCGTGAAAGTGAAACGTGCTTTTACACAGTTTTTTACTTATGATTAACGAGCAAAGCTACACGAGGGCTATCTTTTTTATAACTTTACTTAATTCTGAACTGATATGCTATGGGGAGGGCAGTTGGTCAACATTGCACCTGAACAACATTTAAACCACTCTAGTCTGATGATATGAGCGTGGCCAGCCCTCATATAGTTTTGATCAAAATTCAACAAATTTTTACCATTAAAAGTTAATTCAACAACACTATAAATGATATATATATATATATAAAATGTATTAAAATTTCCGAATTTATGTAGGGATTTAGAATTTTGAATTTTTCCAACAAATTTTAAAGCTTTAACAATATTAGAAAAAAAATAATTATTTAATCATTAATTTATTCACAATGAAACCTTTTTTTGATCATCTTGGACAATAGTTAAAAAGTTGCCAATTTAAGAAAACAAATAATATTCAGTAAAACATTTTCTGAAAATTTATAGTTTATAAATATCTGCTGTCCACGTGATTCGCGATAACCACAGTGCTTTCGGTCAAAATTCAGTGATGTTTACATATTTTAACTAAAAGTTCACCGTTTATTTATTAAGAAACTGTTTGTCTCTTCTCGAATCGTCGACGTGTCTTCATTAGTTATGTCCATAGTCCAATAAAGACAGTTTGGGATTTCAAATAACATCCGCGTTATTCGATCTGAGTATTATATGTTGAGAGGGAAATAGCAGCTTGAAATTCCTAAAAGATACATTGTTTATTTTCCCACAATCCACATAGTCTCTGATTTCTCCGAACCATATATGCAGATTAGATATACGATCTTTCTCGTTTGGCACTTTACACATGTGGATCATAATTTCAAAATCATGTCGCCTACTGGTATAAGGGAAATACCAAAACACACCTGAATACACGATTCTGTACCATTTTTGTTTACAACCGTTGTACTTGAGACTTCATCGACAGAGTGATAATATGTTTTATCATATTTTTGCTCCAAACTCGTAAGTGTGTAGATTTGCAACGCTAAAAACCGGGTTTCGATACCCATGGTAGGAAGAGCACAGATAGCCCATTATGTAGCTTTAAGCTTAATAACAAACACACAAACGAAATTCTCATATTTTATACAACGAATACTAAAATTCTAATGTAGAGTATGACATTATATCGAATGCTTTTTTAAAATATTTTACAAATTTTGCCCCTTTCTGCATTCTTGTTGCTTTCTTAATAATCACGACACAAAATCTTGATAGTTTAACATAACGGACAACGTGGGACACGTTGGTCCATCTCGTCTGTTCCGTCCTATAAACTAAACTAAAACTATTAATAATTTTTTTTCTTTTAATCTTAAAGGCAGCCTTCATATAATAATCAAGCTTATTCTTAAACTCACTTAAATTTACTTACTCTATAACATCTGAAGTCAACCTATTCCAAAGACAGACCACCCTGTTAGAAAAATTAAACTGTATTAGCTGAAGATAACTCCTACCCTGCCAAACTTTATACTTATGTCCCCTGGTCCTACTATTCTCACGGTTAAATATAAAAAAAGATGATACATCAACACTATCAATTCCCTTTACAATCTTAAATACCTCAATCAGATTCCCCTAACAGTTTTTTTTTTTTCAAGAGAAAAAAAACTGAGAGATTTCAGCCTCTCTTCATATGACAACCCCTCCATCCCAGACACCATTCTAGTAATTCTTCTCTGAACCCTTTCCAACAACTCAATGTCTTTCCTAAAGTAAGGAGCCCAAGACTGGACACAATATTCGAAATGTGGCCTAACAATGAAATTATAACCTCTTTAGACTTGTATTCAATATTTCTGTAGATACAACCTAAAATCCTATTTACCCTACCACTAGCTTGGATAGCTTTAGAGACTGATCGACTATTACACCAAGATCCCTTTATTTCATGACAAATTTCATTCAAATTATACTTATAACTTAAATTATGATAACCCACATGAATTATAATTAAAACCCATTTGCCATTTATTTGCTCAACTCACTAACTGATCTAAATCCTTTTGTAAATCAGCAGCATCCTCTTCACAGCTAGCAACACCTAAGACCTCAATATCATCTACAAATGTAAGTCATTTGTTGACCATTCCTTCATCTATATCATTAATTTAAACCCAAAAGAGTAAGGTTCCTTAGACTGAGCCCTGTGGTACTTTTGTCCTTCTTAAACATTCAGAAAATGTTGAATCACGTTCTTTTAGGAAGTTAAATTGAATCCTGAATTGTCACGTAATTGAAATAACAGTATACTGATATTGACAGCAAGAGTAATGACTTTTTAATGATGATTACCTTCGTTTAATACCTCTCGCATACACTGAATCTTCTAAATATCTATTCGAATGTATTTTACATTCATGGTAATATGGAAATAACGTATGATATCTCTATGAAATGTAAAGCAAGAAAAGTTAAAATAGGATATAATAACACTGTATTAAAGGTCTTAGATAGGACCTTAAGTGTCCAGAGCAGAGGGTCATTTGTCGAACATCACAAAATCATGCTGGTCCTCCTCCCAGTTATTGCTGAAAAAAGTTTCACGTCTGTTCCTAGGTTTGATTCCCTCTTGTGATAAAATTAAATGGTAAAAGAGATCCTGTAACAGTGAAATATGAATATAGCATAGAGGAAACAAGTATATTAAAATATATAGAAACGTTCAGTAGATTAAAGCGAAACGAATGCCTCCAAATAAATTGTTTGTTTTGGAATTTCGCGCAAAGCTACACGAGGGCTATCTGCGCTAGCCGTCCCTAATTTAGTAGTGTAAGACTAGAGGGAAGGCAGCTAGTCATCACCACCCACCGCCAACTCTTGGGCTACTCTTTTACCAACGAATAGTGGGATTGACCGACACATTATAACGCCCCCACGGCTGAAAGGGCGAGCATGTTTGGTGGGATGCGGATTCGAACCCGCGACCCTGAGATTGTGAGTCGAGCGCCTTATCCACCTGGCCATGTCCAAATAAATGTAATCAGAAAAGTGAATGTTGTTAAAATCATTGCAGAGTCAAACCCGGATTCTAGACGTTGTATGTCCAAAGACATACCACTGTGCCACTGGGGGGGGGGGGCAGCTCTTACAAACTCTGAGAAATTTACTAAAGCGATTCCCAATTAGTATAAGACTTCGAAACAAACAGGCTTACCGGAAAACTATATTTTCGCTATATATATATCGATACCCGTTTTGGGCAGAGCACAGATAGCCCATTGTGTAGCTTTGTGCTTAATTACAAACAAACAATTGTATGAACTATTAAATAGGCACCTCTGTTGGCATTTTAAATTGCTTGAGCGCCATCTTGTAACACGGTAATATATCCTTGTTTTCCAGCTGTTGTCGATTGCAGCTTTTTGCGCACCCCCTCCCCCAACCCCACAGTAGCTCGGCGGCAGGTCTGGAGGATTACAATAATAAAAATCGAGTTTCGATACCCGTGATGGGCACAACACGGATAACGCACTGTGAAGCTTTGCGCTGAACTACAAACCAAAAAAAATCATTGCAGTTCTGTTGTTTGAAATATGAACATAAGCCAGAAAAACAAAATATTTTTTTTTTTCAATTACAAATTGTAGACTAACCAGGGATGAAAAATTTAAAGTTGAAATACATATTACAGAACACAATTCGTAACAAATATATTTCCTCTTTCGTATACAATAATTTAATATTTTCTATGAAAAAAAAGAACGGCTTATGAGATATTAGATAAGAAAACAAGAGGGAATCTTCAGTAGCCGCGGCACTTGAAATTATTATAGGTAGGATTAGAGTAAATTAATCTATGAAACCTTTGTTTCCATTTTTATTAGTTATATATTTTGTGCTCCAGCAATACCAAGCATGGGTCGCGCGTGTACCCTATTCGATTTTATTACTCATCAGGATCTCTACCAGCCTACCCTCAAATATAAATTATAACAGAAAAATTGAAATAAATTAATCTGTGAGACTTTGAGTTTGATCAAATACATCCGTCGATAGGATTTGACCTCCTGAGTCCAAAACTGTAACTAGATCTCAAATTGGTCAAGAGATGACGGAGTTATGAGCTAAAAGTTTTTACTTGGGGAAAAAAACAACAAGCAGAGCCATTCTATGGTATTTTGTTTTGAATTTCGCGCCAAGCTACAC